TTTCGCGCACGAGCACCCAGACCTGACCCTAACGGACACGACTCTGATAGCACGCATCGTACGCAAATGTAAGGATGAAGCTGACAGGAGGATTGCTGAATCCATCACCATCCGCGATAGGATGCCAACTATTAACGATAACAGCACCTCCTGGCAGCTACTTCCAAAGTAGGTTAGCATTTTTCAAGAGCTCACCACGTTAAAAAGTGATTGTGTAGATCGTTTTCATAGATGCTGTATGCGCCCTAACTTTGTCCAGGGTATGAGTAGTCATAGTATGATAATACGCTCATGTATGCTCATTTACGTATATAATGTTCATTTATGTATAATATGCTCATTTAATTGTTTCGCACAGTGTAAATGTTATATGTGCCCTAACTTTGTCCAGGGTAAGAGTGTAACTTGCTGCCCATTTAATTGATCCGCAAGTATTGTTTCATCTTAAATTCGTATATGCTTAGGCACACACGCACTTTAATCTTGTGTATAGGTTTTTCCCTGTACATATTATGTTTGACTGCTGCGACTTTTAGAATTACCAACCATAAATCTTTTCCCTGAGGACATATCTACTGTTGTGCATGTGTACTGAACAAAAAGTATTTTGACATCTACAATTGTGGCGCCTGCTGGTATCGGTTGACAAAGATCTGTGATCGAATATACCCGAATTTTTGCTATTTGTCATTTTATTCAGATTACATTGAGGATTCGGTCAGGTAAAATGTTCAGTGCAGAGCAGAAAAACAATCTGGGGGGGGGGGGGATGGCAACCACTCACCTACATATGCAGGCGAGGGCAACATTACATTTGAGTTGAGATAGCCCAAATGGGGTCCCTGGCTAACAATCACCGGTTTTGGCACTCGCAACGTCGAGAAATGCCCTAAATCGAAAATATGTAATTTCAAAGTGAATTCACTTGAATTCAGAACGGCTAATGCATTTGAATACCCCGTCTAAATTTGTGACGTTAGCGGCTAGCGCAAATCTAGCGATTATAGAATCTTATTACGAGCGAGCGAGCGCAGCGAGCGAAGTGAGTCTTTTCAATATAACGGAAAAATCTCAGTATGAGCGGCCCGGCCCGGCCCGGCCCGGCCCGGCCTGTAACGCTTTTGAGAGGCTTATATCTCAGCAACCGCTGGACCGATTGGCCTGCGGTCTTTTTTGCTGGGTAGCCCCATCCCTTCTACCCCGTAATTGACTACTTTTGATACATCTCAGTGACCGTCGTGGCACGTGCCACGTGAAAAGTCAAGGGTGTTCAAGCTGTTTTGCAAAAGTAGTGATTTTGAGAGGCTCATATTTCAGCAGCCGCTTGGGCGATTGACTTGCGGTAGTTTTTGTAGGGTAGCAGCATCCCTTCTACCCAAAATAGGATACTCTCGATGCATGTGGGTCACCCTCAGTGCACGTGCAAAATACAACAATAAGAGGTGCCAAATTTGTTCCCATTTCAGTAACTCGGTAATTACTGGGGCGATTTCGCTGAAACTTGGCATACAGGTAGGCACCCACCAGGCAATGCATTCCCATGTGTTGCGGTTAGGGTGCTACTGCACGTGCGCACGTGCAGGGGGCGTTTCCAGATCTCGAGAACGGCTGGGCCGATTGCGCTCAAAATTGGTACACGGTTGGGGACCAGTTAGTAGGGTGCCGTGCAAAAGTCATTTTGGACCCCGTTTGCACGTGCGCACGTGCAGAATGCCGCTTCCAGATCTCAGGAACGGCTGGGCCGATTGCGTTCAAATTTGGCACACCGCTAGCGATCAGTTAGAAGGGTGCTTTGCGCAAGCCCGTTGGAAGCACCCTCTCGCCCTTCCGCACGTGCAGGGCTCACTATCTCGCTCGCTCGTTCTTCGCCCAAAAGGCGTTTTACTGGTACTAAAACCTTTGTAAAGCAGTAGTGGTATATGCTGTTTGGCGCGCAACATCTGCCGCACGTTTAACCCTCGCCCGTAAACGGTGTTTTGTCACCTTCGCCCATGCAGGGGGTGGTTGACCCTCGCCCATGTAGGGGGGTGCAACCCCCCCCCCCTGAGGTTTTTCTTAGATACACGCCGAACCGTTTCAGATAGCCTGCTCAAATTTTCAGTACCCTTTGGGGCATCCTTTGCGCAACTTTTGGTATTTTTTGTCAAGGTCATGTCAGGTAACGGAGTTATGACGTCATAAAGGGAACAACCTCCGGCCAGATTTACGCTAAATTGGAGATTGCTTCACATTGGTATAAATGCCGACTGACCTGACACACTGATGGATTGTTTTAGAATCACAACTGGCTGATTTGACATTGGCACAATGTCCGTTGACCTTTTGAAGGTTACTAAGGGTCAAGGTAAGGTCAGTGACCTCGGTTGACCTGTAATGACTTCTTGCACTTGTAGGGGAGACCCGGGAGGTATGGGCCCCCTGGAGGTATGGGCCATCGCAGTTTTGAAGAAGTGTTGCGTATTTTTACACATTTGACCGCGCAAACTGGTAGCAGCCATTCCGTTATACAACCCACGTGATTTCCAAAATTTTCCTCAGTCTTCTTTGGCAATGAGCGGTGATAAAGCGTTTTTACCCTCTTCGAGTAAAATACGGTACGTACAGAAAATTCGTGATAAATTTGACCCAGGCTCGTTTTATGATGTCAGACCAATGCTAACATAAAGTTTAAAGCATGCAAATTAAGACTGGATAGACAATTTAAAGCATTCTTGCAAGATTATGAGCTGAGACGCTACGCACATTCTGGCGTCCTAACCGGGAGGTTCGGGCCACCCACCCCCGTTGATCCTAAATCAATGAAATGATGCTTTCATTGAATGTACTCTTCAATAAGTTTTATTTTTGTCGCGCAAGGTCGAAAATATAACTACAAATTTCATTCGAACAGAGAAATATTATTTATCTTATTTCATGGAGCATGATTGCGTTTACCAAATTACATATGTGTCCACGTGACCCCCATGAAGTAAGCTGTTGGTCACTTATGCAGTTCCTGGGCTCTAAGAGAGATCAAGGTAGATACCAGCTACGAGTATTGTCCTCATTATCGAGAAAAGAATCTGAAACATGGCACCGGCCCATACCTCCCGGGCCATGGCCCATACCTCCCGGTGTATTTTGATGGATCGAAAAAGCGCATGATTTATTTAAAGTTATCTCGAGATAAAGCAGTTGATCCCAGATGCCTAATATCAGGCACACTTTGCAGGCGAAAGGCAATTTCACGTACACAGAGTGAAAAACCGGGTCTAACCACTTCCCACTGGAAGAAAATTGCCTTTTCACAAAACCGGCCCATACCTCCCGGGTCTCCCCTATGCCTTTCCGGGGTATTTTGATGCCCTGAATTCGAATTTGCTATCCATTTCAGGCATCGTCGGTTGTTTCTTGTAGTTCATTTTGGGTCAGGGTCAGGTCAGTGACGTCACACGCCTGACATGACCCAATGTACAAATGACCTTGCAGACTTCCGATGCTCCCAACGCATCATTTTTATAGCTATGATATCGAAACACACACCAAACGATAGAGAATTGATCAAGGATCACGATAGTGAAGGTTTCAAGTCGATATCTCTTACCGTTTTGCCGCAATCGGCGCGGAAATCTGAAATAGATAGATTTTTCCGAAAATTTGACCTTTGACCGGTCATAAGTAGGTCAAATGTTGACCTAGGACCAAAAAATATACCACCAATCGCGAGATCGCGTTGAGAGCAATCCGTTGGTCTTTTCCGCTAAGCTCTACAACGCTCCGTTTTCAAACGCCGGGGGGGGGTCGCACCAACCCCCCCCCCCTGTATGGGCGAAGGTGGCAAAACACCGTTTACGGGCGAGGGTTAAGATACTAAAATATTGCTTCCAAATGACGTCATAGGATTAGTGTTGGCTCCACAAGAATAAGCAAGGGTAGATGTCTAACATTTCAAAAACCAGTGAATATTTTTTCAAAATTTTGGCAGATATTCATTTTTGCTCTTTCTAAACCGTGGTACACCACTTTTATGCCTATTCATTAGGTTTTTTGAAGGCGGGATGGTCCATTTAAATCGGTCTTGCGCTCTATACGTTTCTTTATCGCGATTTTATTACATGACAGCAACCACAGACATAATCTACACAGAGGCCCGACTCCCTCTGGCTCCAGGGCTGACTCTCCGAACTTTCCACTGGCTATTCACAGAAGCACGTCAACGGGAATCGGATGGTGAAGATGTGCACCGACTTCTGTAAGCCGTATGGTAAGTAAGAGAGCGCTGAGTGCCCCCGATGGAATGTAATTTTTCTGGTTAACGGCAAAATTGGACTGCCAAGAAATTGAAATTCTTTAAGTGCGTAATGAGCTCCACTTAAAGGGACTATCCCACCTTTAACATGGGGTTTGAGATGAGATAGCCAAGTTTGCGGCGAGGTTCAGAAACCACTATCTATCTAGGTTGCAACGGGCAACCCCCGCGGCCTCTTGGTGCTGAAGAAATTCTTTCCCTTCATTTGAAAATGGACCTTGCGCAAGGCCCTATCTTCAACATGGAGCGACCGTTAGTGTGACGTCACCTCGTTTAGTCATTCTGATTTAAATGGGTTTGTTCGTTGAAAAATCGCTTAAAACTTGGTCTGAACTTTGTTGTGGTGCCTACAGAGTAAAAAGAATCAGTTTTATGACAGTAATGTGGCCTGGGGAAGGAGGTAATTTTGGGCTGTGACCTCACATATTTGAAAGTTTGTGTTTGGAATATGGGAAGCCTAAAATGTTTAATGAAAAATAAATGCCAGAACCGTGTTCCTGGTCATCCAATCTCTAAAGTCGGGCACAATTTAACTGGTTTTAACAACATTTTAGAAGGTGGGATAGTTCCTTTAATAAGCGTAGAATCAGGGTTACTTTTAAAGGGGGGGAAAGGGGGAATTTCCCCCCCTCGAAAATTCCGATCCCCCTTTCAAATTGTGTCAGAATGGCTAGGGGGGGAAGGGGGAATTTCCCCCTTTCAAATTTATTTTTGAGCCCATTTTCAATTACTTCGCTATTCAGATTCTATAATCATCGTTATTCAGATTCCAGTCATCAATCAACGTTGCTGGCGTAATATATTATCAATGGCAGTGGCACCGCCCGGGCGAAACTTGGAATATCCGGCAGACCTAAGCACTGGCACAGCGTGTCTTCATCATCGGAGACCCGGGTGTGAATATGCACGTGCTATTCCATATTTTCATCAGCCGCCAGGGAAAAACGCCCGGCTACCGTGCAGTCTCGTGTCTCGTCGCGCTGCGGGCGGGTTATTTATGGCGCAGTGGTTTTTTCAAAATGTCTCGGCCAAAACAAACGACCATTTTGAGCTTCATTCAAAATCCTAAAAGGCAAGCAGTAAATGAAAATATCGCCAGTGGTAGCGAGACAGAGATGTCTGACAAAGCGGAGGCAGACCAAGACCAACTTCCTGCTGCTCCCGCCCCAGCTCCCACCGAGGCCGTACATGCTCCCGCCAGTGCCACCACAACCGCGATGCCGGCCGTGCCTGTGCCAAAGCCGCCTGGACCACTGACACCTGATCAGTGGACTAGGTGGCAGAAAAAGCGGCCATGGCTTGATGTGAAGGACGGCAAACTGGTCTGTCGGACTTGCACGAAGATTGGCAGCCTAGGTAAGTTACCTGGAAATGGAGGGCACACTCTCTATCCTTGTGAATATTCGCAAATCCCGATCCGAACGCCGAACATAAATTTAATGTTTGCACCAATGCATCAGCCACGAAGTGTGTCCGAGCGTGAGCCAGGGCTTCGCAGGGAGGAGAGGGCGTGCAACGACTCATTAAGGACGCGGCTCGCACGTGGGAGAGGGGGCGCTCTCTCTCCTCTCTCTCTCTTTCAGTCATGGATTCAACTATATATAATCTCGTTGGATCCCCTGCCAAAATGCTCACCCGGATCTATGGCCCCTGTGGATCCCGATACAATTTCAATAAACCGTTTGCCAGTTTTGATTAAACTCATGACCTACTCGAATTTTATTCCCCTACTGGCGGATCCAGAGGGGGCATTTGGGGCAAACGCCCACTCCGCCGCAGCGCCCGAAATCGACGAAAATTTACAGTTTTTGAGGAATAAAACGAAAACTAAACAACTTTTATTAGGAAAAGTTTGTTTTAAACTGCGCAGCAGTGGGTAAGGAACCGAAATCCGATGAGTTTTTGGAATTTAGAGAAAGTTTTTTTTGGGGGGTATGCCCCCGCAGCGTCCAAGATTACCTTTCTGGATCTGCCAATGATTCCCCCCCTCAACTTTTCCTGTAAAAGTAACCCTGCGTAGAATGAAATATAATTAGAAAATGACACTGTTCAAAGAATCCATTCATGAATCACGGGTAGACGGCAGTGCTGGTGCGCCTTGGCGCGGCCAGATGCTGGAGTCGGTAGCCATGCTAATGCATATTGCACTGCAATTTGCCTCAGCAAAACGGCAGCTGTGGAAACATATGTAGACGTTCTGTCATTTGCACACACACCGATGACAAAGTTAACCTCATCTTACTTGATTTTATTTCAGTTCCATAAGATATGCCTTAATTGAATAGAGTACATCCTTGCATGAGTTTTAACTTAAAACGTAATGCAATAAAAACGATAAAAACCTTTAACCATGATATTGACTGTTTCATGCAAAAGGAAATGGTAAGTTTATCGGTATTAACCCTAAAACGCCTAGGGGGGGGTTGTATCAACCCCCCCCCCCTGAGGTTTTTTCGAAGTGCACGCTAAACGGCTTGTCGTAGCGGGCTGAAATTTTCAATACCCTCTGGGGCAACCTTTGCGCATCTTTTGCCGAAAAAAACTTGATCGGGTCATGTCAGGTCACGGAGTTATGACGTCATAAGAGGTACAGCCTCCGGCCGACAGTTACCAAACGTGTGCGCCGAATCCCTAGGTTTTCTGCCGGTGATACCCACATTGTTTGATGGATCATGATGCAACTTCCATGCATGTTGGGACAGGCATTGGCTATCGTGTGGTGCAAAAAAATTGACCGGGTCAGGTCAGGTCACGGAGTTATGACGTCATAAGAGGAACAGCGTCCGGTACTATTTTTGAAAAGCGCCCGAACCACTATTTTGCTAATTCTTGTCACCTCAATGGGAATATGCAGCAATATTAGCTTCTATAAGGAGCAAATGGACCTTCCAAATCCAAAAATACAATCAGATTTCAAAAATTTAAATTTTGATTTTTCGAATTTCTGCCGCCGACTGTGACCTTGCCGACTTCCGGCGCTCCCAACGCGCCATCTTTAGAGCTAGGGAAACGAAATACATACCAAACGATAGAGAATTGATCAAGGAACACGATAGTGAAGATTTCAAGTCGATATCTCCTACCGTTTTGCCGCAATCGCCGCGGAAAGTTGAAAAAGTCTATTTTTCCGAAAATTTGACCTTTGACCGGTCAAAAGTAGGTCAAATGTTGACCTAGGACCAAAAAATATACCACCAATCGCGAGATCTCGTTGAGAGCAATCCGCTGCTTTTTTCCGCTAAGCTCTACGACCTTCCGTTTCGAAACGCCAGGGGGGTCGTAACAACCCCCCCCCCCTGGTCGTTCGTGTTATGAGAAATGGCCTGGTCGTGCGAGGGTTAAGCGTGTCCAGCTTAGAAAAAGGCGAATTGATTTCAAGAAACTGATGTAGCTTCCTGTAGTTGTTTTGCATGTTTTGATATTAGCAGACCAAGGTCGAACGGCAGGGGGAGGGTCCAACGTTGATCGTGCCTCCCATTCCCTTGTAGGCTAGCGGCTGGTAAAACACCAATAGGTACGGGTGAGGATTAACCCTCGCCCGTATTGGTGTTTTTTCCAGCCGCGAACGTATACGGGAGGGGGGGGGGGTCGTGTGGACCCCCTTGCCGTTTCGCCCCTGATCGAGCTAGAGCTTCGCGAAAAAAGGAGCGTGCTGCCCGTGACGAGAGGAGTCCGATGATACCCAAGTTTAAGGTCCTAGGTCATTGGTTGACCTTCCAGGTCAGGTCAATGACCCAAAAGCCGGGAAATTCATGACCTGTTAGAACGTCGTAAGGTGTGGCTGCTTTAGGGCTTTTCGGGGTGCTGATCACGAATACCATGTTAGTTTTGATCACCGATGATGTATTCATGCATTTAGGCCAGTTCGGGTCGGATCAAGTCAGGTCAACCAGTAGGGGTGCTGCCGGATATTCGTAGTAGGTGTCAACCGCCTCTGACAGGTCCGTAACATGTTACGAAGGCACCAAAACTATTTACTTCGTAAATGTTCATATGGTTGCTAAATTCGAATTCAGCTCCAAAAACTAGCCTAGAAACATGCAAAACTCGGAAACATGAACCGAGTCATCAAAGGTCAATGACCTGACCTGATCTTCAGGTGACCTTAACACCCACCCTACTGCATGGGGGCAGCATCATATCATATCACATGTTGTTTGAACGCTTGAAACCACGAAAAGACGATAAACGCGTGGCTAATGCGAGCCGACATACACCGAATTGTGATTCCGGCCAAACATGGTCTCGAAAAGAAGGTCACAGGTCATAGGTCATTTGGGTCAGGGTCATTAATATTTAAGGTAGGTGTAAAATTGATTAACGCGAGGGCACCGAAAGTTTCGTCGCAATCGGCCGCTTTTTACGCAAGTTATTCGCAAAAACCAAAGGGCTCCCCTTGACCCCCCCCCCCCCTATACGGGCGAGGGTTAAAACGGAAAATTATCGTCAAGGCTCGGGCCCACCAATCCTTTGCAAAACGACAAACATGCTGTCATGCCCAATGCCATTTTATGAAGCAGAGTCTGCTCCGTGTAGACTACGTGCTGCTCATTTGCAGCGAACGAGGGTGAATTGCAGGTGTTTTTTTTTTTCGCGCCAGGCACAGCTTGCCAGGTCGCGGCGCGTATTCCAGCATTATCCTGCAGGTCTTTGTTAAATGACCTGACCCTTGTGCCGCCTTTGGCGCACTGCGGACATCACGGCCCTCTTGAGTTCTTTGGCAGTCCCGCGCGACTGCTATTTGAAAGTTCTGTGCTTTGTTCATCGACACATAGATGGCGGTGTCCGTGCATGGTGAAAGGTTAGCACGCAGCCTGTAGAGTAGATCACTCAATAAGGGTAATGCTTGTTTCCTTGCATTTTACTAAATATTGGGGTCTGGTGATAGTCAGGTAGTTTTTCTGCTCTGCAATCAACATTTTTTAAGCTAAAAGCCTGATGTTTTGTATAGCTGCTTCTTTTCCCTTTCTCAGTGTCCACTGAAAATGTCAACTTTCTGTGATTTTTGTTTTCGGAGAAATGACCTTGTTTTTCAGGTCATGTCCTGACCCAAATGACCAACACAATATCTTGCGTTGGCAATGGGTCTTGTGAGCTTTCGACACCTTAATTTCTTTTTTATTTTGCTAGTCTTACCTCCCACCTATCATGGAACATGTTATTCGACAATGTGCCATGTGTTAGGGTTAGGGTCAAGGTGAACCTAGGTCATCTAAAAACATTGCATTTTAGGATTGCTGAATTGACATTTCGTGAAATTTTTTGACTGCATTTTTGTAAAAGCTTCTCATATCATGATCTCATGTAATAGGGACACACAAACCAATCGGTGCACACCAGTGTTCGCCACCGGCCGCAAAATTCCAGTCCAGCCCAGCCCAGGCCCATGGGCTCACAGCCCGGCCCAGCCCGAACCCATTAATGGTAAAAGTGTCAGAGCCCAGCCCGGCCCAGCCCGTCAAAAATGAATGGATCAAAAATTGTGGACAACACACGGGTCATCCGAAGTTAGCAAAGAAACAATCTTTCGCGAGCAGCATGCCCAATGCACATTGCATACATGCTTTATCATCTCGTTTTTTAGAGTCGCACAGTAATAAGCTATAGTTACGGTTTTTGTCTCAGTCGCGAACCCTTGAGTCCACTTTACAGTTATTGGCCCAGCCCATCCACAGCCCATCGATCCTTCATATTTGTGGGCCCAGCCCAGCCCGTAGCCCAGCCCAGCCCGTAGCCCAGCCCAGCCCATGGCCTATTGCTAATCCAATGGGGTGTCCCCACGTGAGTTCGAATCTCATCCTCGTCGCCACTGTTGTAGCTTGAGGTGACGTCCGCCACATACTCTGGCTCGATCCAAACTGGTGTATTTGGCCCAGACCATCTCGGCCGGTCACCGCACAGCCGCAGGCGACCAATCCCCGTCCGTCCCGCACCGGTGACGTCAGAGGTCATCATATGACGTCACCGGTGACGTCATCTCACATCCTAACAGGCTGGCCCGGCCCGTGGCGAATACTGGTGCACGCATCAGTATACACAAAGACACACACAGATATACAAACGCATATCATTGACCTTGACCTAGCTTGACCTGAAATGACCACAGCCGGTAAAAACCTAGTCGGTATTGTGACAAAAAGCTGTTCTAGCTGGCTTGGCACCACAAACGGCAGCGTCATCGGTATATGATGGGCACCGCACGTGATATTCCAACGGTGGCCCCAAACAGCAACAGTTCTTAGTTTGACCTGGCCTGGAAGGTCAGTGATTGGCCTAATGAGGTAAAATTGGGTATCATTGGATTCGTCTCTTCCAAAAGAATCTGTTGGTGTTTGCCGCGAAGCTCTATCTCCAGCAGGAACGAAATGGCGCGGGGAGTGGCACCCCCCCCCCCCCATTTGCGTTCTAGGATGGGAAAATGGCATGTGCAGGCGAGAGTTAACTAATATTTAGCAATGTCGGTAGTGCGGAAAAAGCAAAACTACAGAAGGCATCCAAAATAACGAAATGAACCTATTACAAAACTGTCCTGTTATTCTTAAGCCGGGTCAAGCGTCAAGTAAAAATGGGATTTAAGTTTTCCAGTTCAGTACCGGTAGACGTTTAACCCGCGCACCGACGGGGGTCTACGCCAAAGTTTATAACCGACGGGTGGAGGGCGGATGACCGCCCCCCTGAGATCTCGAGAACGAAGCAAGATAGCGACAAGCGGTAAACTGCATGGGGTACGCACGGACAACGTCTACAATTTTTACTGGGATCATTTTCAGGTCAGATCAAAGATGACGTCACAGGAGTCAAAAAAGTCAAAGTGGCGGCGCTAGATATGAAGTTGTTTTTTTTTTCTCGAATAATGTTCGAATTAGTCAAGCTAGGAACAAACTAAGGGCATCATCGTGATCATCTCGTTAATCCGCATCGAATCAAATATATGTTGATCTCGAAAGGTCAAGGTCAAAGGTTGACCTCAGGTCACGTGACCTCGAGGTCATCATGCATATCATTCGATGCGCCTTGACGTGCTGAACACAATGAGACCATCCGCGCGGCTGTATCCCGTTCCTGTAAGGAGGTATTGGCAAAAAAACGTTGGTGACCTTTGATGACGTCACATGACCTTACAGCTGGCCAACAGCAAAACAGGCCTCAAGGTAGTCAAGGTTGATCGTATATGAAGTGATGTATGGTATATGGGGCCATTCCGACGCGTTTTAGTGAAAAAAGCAGGGAGTTGATCCCCCCTCCCATTGACTTATAATGGGGAGGTCGAGAAATTGACCTGACTAAGTCATCGATATCGAAATTCCCAGATACACAAATTGTAGCTACCAATGACCTAATAACATCCTGCGACTTTCAAAAGCCTTCGTCATCTACTGTAGGTCTGACACTGGCAAAGTTGCAAAAAAGTGACTGGATGTTGGGTCATCCAACGTGACCTGGTGACCTGACCTTAAAAGTTAGGAGGTTCAATCTTGCACACCATGTGTAAAACTGATAAGCGTATAGTCATGCCAAATTTCGCTCCACGGTTTTCCCGCTATTCACGAAAACCCTCAGGGGGGGGGCGGATAACCGCCCCCCGTCGGTCCGCGAGTTAGCGGAGCTGCAGAATATTTTTCGACGTTTTAGAAAATAAAGCTGTTTTTGTTCACAAAAGTCATTATGCCTTCAACACTTCAAATCCCCGATCTGTTCTCTAAATTTTGAAAATGCTGAAGGTCATATGAAACAGGTATCAGTCGCGAATGCCTTTAATAAACTATAACGGCTATACCAAATTGACCCCTATTTTTGTTTGCCTTAATAGTATATTCATTGCTAATCGGAGGAACGTGGCGTGCCCTGCCTTTACAGATCTGTAAAGACACGTCGCATTCTATCTATATTGTGCGACGCTTTCTTGACACGCTCGGAAATGATTACTACCGACTTTATATGGGTTCTGAGACAATGGTACTAGGACATCATTGAGTTTTGCTCGTTCTCGACTGTCCATCCGTGGCTCCGGTGACTCAGAGGGGCGCTTCCGGCCTTCTTTGGCAGAGGTACACGGCGGGACCACCTACTGCTGCGCCATGCCGGACTACTGTAACGCGGCGCCCGCGGCCGGCGGCCCCCCGCTGCTGCTGCTGCTGCTGCTGCTGCCGCTCGGCCGCCACCTGGCCTCTCTCACGGCGCCGATAGCGAGACGAACGAAAACTCAGCAGTGACCTCAGCAGCGAGTGACCTCAGCAGTGACCTCAGCAGCGAGTGACCTCAGCAGTGACCTCAGCAGCGAGTGACCTCAGCAGTGACCACAGCAGCGAGTGACCTCAACAGTGACCTCAGCGGCGAGTGCTGTCGACATGCGCGGTGCGAGTAAAAATTAGTTCTAAAGTCTGATATAAGTGTATATGAATATATCATTGTAAACATGTTCCGTTAAAAGCCTTTAAACCGGCAGGCGGTGGGCCTCCCGGCCACCTTCCGCGCCCCCGCGCCCCACTGTCCCCTCCCCCGGTTCCCGCGCCTATGCATGAGTCTATGAAATTATGCTGGTAGATTTCCGTTTTCGATTCCTCCAGCTGGGGGGGGGGGGGCTCAAATACATTACGAGCCCCCCCCCCCAGCCGAAAAGTTGGAGGGGCTCAGCCCCCTAGCCCCCGGTCCCCGCGCCACTGTGCAACGTGGACACATGCCTACTTATCATAAATTGCAAACTAAATACAAAAGTCACGCAATGCTGGGCCGGGAACGATTCATCTAAAATAAGACATATATGAAAATAACAAGTGCCAGGCAACCTACCGTCAACAAAAACAGCAAAAAATATAGATCTAATTTTCACCACTACACTAGCTGTGCATTAGCCGGGCCGGGCACAGCAGCGCCATCTCCTTAGGGTCTCCGGAAGCGCGACCCTCGACCTGCGCCGCCAGGCGAGAACACCGTCCGGTGGTCCGGTCGCACAGTAAACGGCGCCTACACTCCCCCCCCCCTGGCTGCCCGGTGTCCTGCACTAAGCAGCCACTATAGGGCGCCGTTCGACTAGCGCATTGCTGAGAACACTCATCAGACCAAAAAACTCCCCCCAATACGCTACCAACAACCATGGAGAGCACAGCAACGGGAGTGGAGAGGATGACAAGGATCTGACCCGCTCGCCATCTCGCCGAGCATGACTTTACTCCTTTATCCTGACTGCTAATACAACTAAGTTCAATGAATCATACCATACAGCCCTACCTGGCTGCACCTGCCAAGATATGTCCTACTATCGTCTTATGCATCGGCCTCATACATCCTACCTACAGGTAACAGACATATGAAACAGGTTTCATATGTCTCCGTCGCACCAACAATGTTAAACTCAAACCCAAAAACTAACATTAACCAGACAGAGCAACTGATGAATAGCCTATAATCCATCAGACTAACTAACCTGCCCGCAGCTAATCATCTGAGGACCCAGCCGCTCACCAATCCAGGTCCTTCTCTGAATAAACTTAAACCAGCTTTGACATCGATCGGACCAAAAAGAAAAAAAAAGAAAAAAAGTCTTATCCTACCCATTCAAAGGCATACCCCCAGCGGCCCCTCTACCCTCAGGCAGGTCGGCCATCAGCTGTCCCCGAGCCCCGAGGACACGTGTGCACCCTCCGACAGACCACACACGATCTTACCAATTTCCGGACGTCCATGCATGCCCCCATGACCCAAAATCTTATCCGTAACCCTCAGTGTGCTCACGACCTTGGTGGCCGACGGCGTGTCGGCCCTGGGTCCCCAATCACTGGGCGCGTGAAGATCTGGGGAATGAGACTCGGCATGACGTAAACTGGCTCTCTCAGCCCTGTCCGTCCAGCCTTGTCTCTAAGCCCGAAACTTTACCTTTCCCAGCCCTGACCCTCTGCGTCTCGTACGACAGAGCCTTTGAAACTCACCAGACCTGGTCACGTCAGACAGCCTGTCATACCAGGCCACAGCCTTCCTCAGGCGTTTGTATGAGGAGTCGTGAGTCCTCAGAGTCCCAGATGGGCTCTCCTGAGCCACAGTCATCTGGTCCCGGTAGACCTGAGACGCCTGGGCCTCAGTCTCAGGCACAGACTCGCTGACCATCGGCTCGCTTACACCCGTTCCTTCCGTTCGCTGACCGAAAACATACCAGCCCAGACTTGTTCTGACCCCATGGGGTCCTCTGCCTGCCTCTGGGGACCGAACCTCCCGAGCCACCAAGAGATCGGCCGCATCTGAGCCAATCATCAGCTCCACTGGAGCGTCAAGCTCATGAATCGAAATGCCAGCGAGATGTGGCCATCTTTTCAGGTCCTCCGAGCGACACTTATCCTGCGTTGAGACAGGGATACGGTCCAAAACGAAAAGTGTTGGCAGCTCGAATGTGTTGTCAGAAGTGGCGGGCCTAGCCCTAGCCCCGTGCACCACGGCAGACTGGATCCTCTGACCCTCGCTCGCCACCGTGTCGATAGTGATGCTGGCCTCCTTCCTCTCAGAATTCATCTGACTCATCAGACGGGAGGTGACAAAACAACCAGAGCTGCCCTGATCTAGAAAGGCGTTGGTCCACAGCTCCTTTCCAGTCCTATCCACGAGCCGCACAGGCACCACCGGCATCATGCAGTCGGTTCTCGTATCCCTCAGACCTACCCCGGCACTGACCAACTTCGGAGTGGTATCCTCGACCTCCGGCGGCTCCGGCACAGAGGGGTCGCGCTCAACCGATTTCACATGCAACAAGGTCGCATGTCGCCCGTCACAAATGTCACAGGACAGGACAGACGTGACATGCAGACCCTGGCCAAATGCCCAGGCCGCAAACAGCCGAACCAGAGTCGTCTCTGAAACATGAAGGCCTTCCGCTCTTCCGGCTCCAGCGGCTTCTAGCGCAGCTGGTCGCACCTGTCGGTGCTGTGCGCATTCCCGGATTCTTCAGAATCCTCAGCTCTCTCTCTCTCTCTCTCTCTCTCTCTCTCTCTCTCTCTCTCTCTCTCTCTCTCTCTCTCTCTCTCGCTCTCTCTCTCTCTCTCTCTCTCTCTCTCTCTCTCTCTCTCTCTCTCTCTCTCTCTCTCTCTCTCTCTCTCTCTCCAAGAAACCAACCAAGTGTCAGAAACCAACAAAACCAATTGTGGAACATTGTCCACAACCCGGAGGATATAGCAAATATTCTTAACAATCAATACAAAGGGATATTTTGTGAGGAAGATGATACAGATACAACATCATTGAGCGATTGCACTCGCACGTCGGAGGTTATGCCGCCGGTTCTTATCAGTTATCATGGCATCGTAGGCCTCTTACAAAATATTAAGGTCCACAAAGCTTGTGGCCCTGATGGCATTAGCGGGGCTATTCTAAAACATTGCGCAAAAGTGGTCGCAATGTACCTCAAAATGATTTTCGAACAGTCTCTTGATACGAAAGACATTCCTCACGATTGGCGTCAAGCCACAGTGCACCCAGCTTTCAAAGGGGGCAGTACCAAACAACCTGTAAATTATCGTCCAATTTCGCTCACATGTATATGTTGTAAAATGATGGAGCGTATTTTAGTTTCCTATATTGTGATGCACCTAGATGATTTTGACCTATTCTCTGATAGTCAGCATGGATTCAGAAGACATCTTTCTTGTGAGTCACAACTGTTACTGCTGTATCAGGATATTATGTCATCCATTGACAAGAAAAAAAGTGTTGATTTGAGATTCATTGACTTCAGTAAGGCGTTTGATAGGGTTCCACATAAACATCACTTAACTAAACTAAAAATGTGTAATTTAGATAACATTCTTGGCTGGATTGAAACCTTCTTATGTAATAGAACGCAGAGAGTTCTGTTTAATAATTGTTATTCTGATGTGATTAGAGTTACGTCCGGTGTCCCACAAGGGAGTGTATTGGGTCCAATATTATTTCTTTTATATATTAACGATCTTCCGGATATAATTAATTGTCAAATAAAATTATATGCGGATGATGTTGTTCTTTACACAGACATAATAACCCTCGCCGGACCTATTGGTTTTCTACATACGCGCCGGCCGAGGGCGGGGGACGGGTACGATCCCCCCTCGCCGTTTCGCCCCTGGTGGAGCTAGCGCGTCGCGGAAAAAGACGAGCGTGTGCGCCGTTACGAGACGCAGAGATTGGTACCCGATTTTAAGGTCTTAGGTCAACCGGTGACCTCTGAGGTCAGGTCAAGTGCCCCAAGGTACGGTTCAGTTTTTGGTGAATAACTTAGCAAAAAACGGCCGCGCGATTTTGGCAGCATCGTGTTCGCCTCGCTCAGGCGCGTCGAATGATATACTTTTTGTTCGGGTCAGGTCAACTTAGGGTGTTGACCTCAGGTCAAGGTCAGGTCAGCACCCCCAGGTCACGAATCTGGTTGAAAGAGGTCATGTCGCATATCATTCGATTCGGCAGGTCTTCCTGAGTCCAGTGGTGGCTTTCCCGACTCGCTAGCTCAATTTGATCGGGAGTTTTTGACGAAAAACTGATATGACCTTGATGACGTCATAAATGACGTCACGCAAGGTCAACATTGCAAAAGTGACGCATCTAACCTTGCAAGGAGTGCATCAAATCACGATTCTGTGTGCTTGAGATAGTTGGAGATCGCTCCCGGCGCCAGAATAGCAGTTTTCATTTTTCCCCATTGACTTATAATGGTGAGGTCACGAAAATGACCTGACCTCATATGACCTTTAGGAAAAATCCGAGATATACAAGTTGTGAGACTCATAATGGATACTAGATCCTGCAAGTTTCATTTCCCTGTGACATCTCCTCTGGCAGTGAGGGCGTTGCGAAGTTGCGACATCTGAAGACCGTGCAGAGGTTCACTTATGACGTCATAGGTCAGTGACCTGACCTGACCCGAAAAAGGCGGTTGGTGTCAAAAGATCCGGCTTGAATCAACGGTCAGGTATGCCACGTTTCAGCTCTCTATCGCCAGCGTGTTCGGAGCTATCGCGAAAAAACCTATGGGGGCGGCACCCGCCCCCCCCCCCCCCCTCGGCCGGCGAGGGTTAAGCAATGAAGAATGTAGTTTTTCGTTACAGGCAAATATAAATAGATTATCTCAATGGTGTTCCAAATGGAAAATGTCTATTAATGTTGGAAAGTGTGCTATCATGAGAATGACAAAGCAAAAACTTGCTGCAATGCCTAGATACTATTTGAAAGGAATAGAAGCTCAGGTTGTCAATAAGTTCAAGTATTTAGGCGTGCATATTTCGAATAAATGTACCTGGCAAAATCATGTACAACATGTCACTGCTAAAGCGAATCAGATGCTACGATTTATTAAGCGAAATTTCAAGGATTGCCCTCAAGCTGTAAAGGAAATCATGTATTTGTCCCTTGTTAGGCCACATCTAGACTATGCCAGCTCTGTTTGGGACCCATGGGGAGAGGGTATGA